TCAAAATGTTATATTTATATGTCTCATTCAACCACAGTTACATTCAGTCTATCCAGGAGGCAGTTTATCTTTACACTATTTCTATTAATAACAAGCCAAATGAAAACAAGCAAAAATAAACTAAAAGTAACGATTTTATTCTTGCCCTTTTTAAAAATGTAMGCAGTAGAAGTAAAAAGTAGGCTGAAAAATAATTACTCAAGTAAAGTACAGATACATAAAATTTCTACTTAAGTACTGTAACGAAATATTTGTACTTAGTTACTTTATAACTCTATAAATTAGGCAGTATTCTTTGTCTAGATCAGTCAACGTGGTCCAGAACGCCTTGGCTCAAAAGGTTTATGGAGCTGTTTTGATTTTGGGGCATAAAATAAACCTTTTTTTAAACCTTGCATCGAGGCCTAGAACTCTCTTCATTTTTAAAAATCTTTTTGGCTGATTTTTGCATCACAGCTTGGACAAAGGTAAATGATTTACAAATTAGAAAAATTAAAATAATTATTAGTTTAAAAGTTGTTTGTCTAAACTATACACTTCAATTCTTAGGTACGATCACACAAAAATTTCAGCTCAGTGTTTCTTAAAACAGCTGAATTAGAGCCATTTGAAATGGGTTTGAATTTTCAAATCCAGGATATTGTTCTTTATTTATATGTGGCCCCCTAAAAAACACGTTGGCCACCCCTTGCAAAAAAAAAAAGAAAAAGAAAAAGAAAAGGAAAAGTCTAGCTCCGCCACTGAATGTGGTGAAGAAATCAAAGAAGAAAAATAAAACAAGAGGCTGAATTAAAGCGTTATAAGGAAACATGCTGGCGCAGCGTAAATGTTTCAGAGCAGATGTTAATATTTAGCAGAAGCGTGGGCGTACCTGACAGCCTGAAAGACTTCAAGAGGAAAAGAGCCAATCCAGTGGAGGAAAATAACGAAAATACATCAAACAGGAGGACATGTTGGCAAGCTGGTTTGTAGAAAACTATATAAATATTGTGTTCCTTGTGATGAGCTTCTTTGTAGATTAAATCTGTCAAGAGATTTTGAGCTGTTCTTGTAAAGATATTCCTTAAATATAAAGTTTTTTTGAGCCTATGGCAACAAATATGTAATTTTTTTACATTGTTATGACTAAAACACTGTAATCTCATCAGCCTTAGCTGATATCAGATAATAGTTTGACTAGATTTTTTTTAATAACTGACTTTTAATGGTTTCTGTACTCAAAATTAGGCCCAGTTCACAYGTTTTTATGTTGATTTGCCACAAAAAACATTGAAAACATGAGTGTCAGGTGTAAATAAGGCCTTACAGGGGCTGTAGGCACCATCCTGCTTTACACATAAAACATATGTTGTGAGAGTACAAACACACAAGTTTAAAAGCTGATCAATGCAGCCTTTAGAGTTTACCTGAAGGAAGGTAATTCAGGTGATTTGGTGACTGTCAGATTTACTCACGTGGAGTCGATGGGCGTTCCGTCYAACAGAGAGGCGTTGTAGTGATATTTGATGAAGTCGCCCTTTTTGCTTTGCTTCTCACACTCCTCCGGCTTGTAAGTGACGGTGACCTCCGTGCTGTCGGAGGGGTTGTGGAAGTCGATGATGTGGACGTCAAACACGAGGACAGCAGAACCGGGGATTTTAGAGCCTGAGAGATTAAAAAAAAGGTTATTTTATACTGTAACATAAATTTAGCTCTTCAGAGGAGTTTCTCCAGGACATACCCACCTGTGCCCTCCTCTCCGTAGCCGAGGTGTGGCGGGATGGTGATGGTGCGTCTCTCGCCAACGCAGACTCCAATCAGACCCTCATCCATGCCGGCGATGATGTAACCCTGACCCACATAYGTGTCATAGGTTCGATTTCGGGAGTAACTGTCAAGCAGAAAATATTAGTMCTCTAAAAATCTGTTCACACAACAAAGTCAGAAGATAATAAATTATTTTTATTTTTACACTTTAAATTAAATTAATCTGTGCAACTTGTGTTTTTGCAAACCAAAAGAGCAGAAGAGCGTTCTCAGCTGGTTTCATTTCTCCTCCACAGAGCCCTCCAGACACATGCAAGTGCTGCCACCATGTGGCTAYTTGAGAAACTGCAGCTATTAAATGAATGAAAAACACACCTGGAATCAAAAAATGTCCCATCCAGGAGGCTCCCGTTGTAGTGGTAACGCACAAAGTCCCCCACRACCGTCTTCCTCGTGCAGGACTCCGGTAAGATCTGATTGGTCACTGTGATTCCATCTCTGGGGTTGTGAAGGTCCAAAAGAACAACGTCAAACACCAGAGACGCCTGACCTGGGATGTCGCTGCCTGAGGAGGGAAATAAAATCAGAAGCAAATAGCCAAGTTATGTGAAAATTCATTGCAAAGCATTAGAAAAGTGCATCATACAGGTGGTATCATTTAAAATAAAAAATATACAAGATAAAAATAATAAAATGTATCRACCTGAATTCAAGATGGCTTCACATAATCAACCTTAATGAACACAAAAACCATCATAACCCAGTCATTTCGACAGGTATTTAAATAAAATTTGGTGTGGTTGTAGCTGAGGGTCATCCCTAGCACAGACTCTGAGCACTAAAGGAATTTGCGACGYAAGAGGCTAAAACCAAACCCACCGTCTCCGTTCTCCCCGTAGCCGAGCGACGGAGGCATCGTGATGATGCGCCTCTCTCCRACGCACATTCCCAGAAGCCCCTGGTCCATGCCGGCGATCAGCCAGCCGATCCCCACGTAGGTGTCGTAGGTGCGCATGCGAGTGTGACTGCAAACAGAGCGAGGGGAGGGGAGCAGACGTTTCCGGCTCGCCTTTGCACGATTTGATTTATTCACATTTAAAACAGACGAAACCGATGCACAGAAAGCAAACCTGGAATCGAAGAGCGTCCCGTCCAGCAGAGTGCCGTTGTAATGGTAGCGGACGAAATCAGAGACCTCCACCTTCCTGGAGCAGACGGGGGGCAAATGGTACGTGTTGATCTGGACGCCGTCCTCCGGGTTCCACACGTCCAGCAGCAGAACGTCAAAGTGGAGGATGGAGTCAGGAGGGATGATGTCACCTGCGGAACAAATCACAAGCGTTCACAACGAAATWTAACCTTTTATCAAATATAATGTGAAACCCTGTTGATAAAAGTCATCAAGAAAAGCCTAACCCCCAAAAACTAATAATAGACAAAGTAATATAGACTGTTGTGACTTTGAAGAAAAGCAACATGTTTACAACTTCCCAGCATAAAAACATGATTTAATTTGTGAAACATGAGGATGATGTCATGGTTCGGACATGCTTTGCTGCATCTGAGCCAGGACATAATCCTAATATAAAAAAATAATAATTGAACTAAAATAAATCTAATGGAAAATATCACATTTTTATAAAAAAATCAGAGTTTTGGCGGTGCTGGTTAGAAGCTGTCGCAGAAAAACAGCAGCTACAAAATAACCAATAATTTGCCACTTATTGGGTTATTTTCCTAAATAAGTTCGATAACACTGRCGTCTCATCTGTTTAATTTAATCTTGTTAGGAAGGAGAATGTGATGTTGTGTTGGGCTTGGCAGATCTAAACAAACGTGGAGGAGAGGCTGTGTGGGAGGAACTTTTACTACCGGTGAGTTGGCAGTTTTTGTTCGGAGAGCCTCTGATAGTACAGGATGCAACCTGAGATGCTGCAGGCCCAAACATGCCCCCCTTCTCTTATTTTCTCCCCCTTTTCCTTTTGTTTAAACACCTCCTGCACACATGTAAAGTGACGCAGCAGACTASAGAAGAAACAGTCTGAGTGATGGTTCAGTCATGTTTCATAAACAGCAGCGTTTCTGCTTAAAAGGAGCTTCCTGGTCTCTGAGGCCTCCCTGATGTCTTCCTGCAGGGGCGGGCTGGGAGCAGCCAGCTTCCCCTTTACGCCTTTTAACAATCTGAGCGCCCAGCCAGAAGAGAGACATAATAAAGAAACGTACCGTATCCTCGTTTGCCGTAGGCGAGCTGGGGTGGGATCTTCACCAGACTCCTCTGGTTGACACACATCCCCACCAGAGCTTTGTCCATCCCTTCAATCAGCTGCTTCTGGCCAACGAACACATTGTAGGTGCTCCCACGGTCGTAGCTGAAACAGAAACAGCACTGTGTGAGGATGACTGGTGACAACACTGAGCTCAAACATAGTGACATCTTAAAAAACTAATTATCTGGGGTGGGGGGGGGGGCTTGTTTTCTGTCTAATCTACAGAAGTTAATGAAACTTTTTTTTGTCTCCTGCTATTTATCTGCATTAATAAATAAGTTTTGATGAATGACGAAAAACATGATTTCATTTTTTTTTTTTTTTTTTTTTTTTGGATGAGGTGTCCAACCTGCAGGAATAATTCAGAAATAATAAAAAAGTCAAAGCGTTTCTGTGAATTCAAAACATTAATATTTATGATTCTGCTTGTCCCTTTCTGCTCTGAAAACATGTTTTGGATCAAGCAACCCAGCTGTCCGCCTGCCTGCGTGGCTCACCGGGACGAACCAAAAAACGCGCACTTTTACGCATCGCGCACGCTGCTCCCCACAGTGGASCAGCTCCCTCTCTCTCCACAGCCTCGCAGACATCCACGAGCACAATTCGCTCACCTCGAATCGAACTTCTTGCCGTCCGGGAACGTGCCGATGTAGTGGTACCTGACGAAGTCCCCGACTTTGACGGCGCGCGCGCACTGCTCCGGCACGAAGGTCGTCTCCACGACGACGTCGTCTAACGGGACCGGAGGAGCGTTGCAGGCGGCGAACGTCACCAGGAGCGACAGAGACAGCATCCCTTGCACGCACGTGATCATTTTCACGAGGAAAAATCGGTTTTCTGTGACGGATAACGGCGCAGTAAAAGGCTGGTTTGAGTGCGCGCTGACCCGCCTGCTATCCCCCCACCGGTACTTTGACTTCCTCTCTGACTTTGAGGAAGGGAAAAAAAAAAGTTCAGACCCCCTGATCCCAACTTAGGAGCTGTCAAGTTGGAGGAAAAACGCGCCACATCCGGTTAACCTTAAGGAAAATAAAACATTTTCCTTTTTTTTCCCCCACATTCTTTACCCACTTTGGCTTTATATATTATAATAAATAACAACTGTGTGGAATCCAGGGTGTTTTTGCACATCTGATGTTGGATTTAAACACATTCTAGAACTTGGTGGGGATCAGATCATTTAAAAAGCTTTAATCTTAACAGAAAATGACTTTGAAAATAAACAAATGAAAATAAAATAAAATCACTGATAAGAAAAGTACTTCAATAAAAGCCATAAAACTACTCACGATAATAGGAAAATTAAAAGTACTTTTACACATGCTATAAAAATAAAGTGTTTCACTATTTTGTTATAATAATATGCAAAAATTGCTCAGTTTAATCAGCTCGGGTTAGAGGAAACAGTTGACATAAGTTGGTTAAGTAAATTCAAAACATCCTTTTTTTTAAAGAATCCTTTCGTGATGAATTCTGGTCATATTTAAATTTTTTAGCATTTAAAAAGGTGAGGAATTTTAAAG